AAATGACGAATAGTCGAACCCTCTCGACCCGACGTTACAAATGACACTTTTTATTTTCATACAAATAATTTACTGCTTCTTGTGGTTTTCATTTGGTTTTTGATTTATAAACTTTCTTAATAACTTCTGCCATGTTGTTTTGGCTCCAATTCAAGCTGGAAAATGATGGGCTTTCCTCCCCCTCCACTCCCCCCACCCCCACTCCACCCTCTCCACCCCGTCTATGTTCTGATTAAGAGTTATGGAAATTCTGGAATGACAAGGTGAGGACAAACCAAAGTGAGTTGAATGGAGCAAAGGTGTCAGGTCTCTCCACACAGCTACGTGAGAAACTAATCCAAGTGAAGCGTAATCTACAGCCACTGCTATCCAAGCTTTTTTGGTCGACCAACAAAATAAATATTCTTGATTGAATATTTCTTGATGAAGCCATAATAATCCCTCTCCAAAAATAATTGGTCGCTCAATCCACAACTGTGTGTGGGACGCTGCTGTGCGCGATTGACTGCCACGTTTCACCCACAAAATACGCAGTCATCCCACTTTAGAATACATTCTAAAGGGCTTTGAGACGTCTCAACGACGTGATCAGGCTATTTATTTTGCCCACAAAATATACAGTCAATTCACGTTACAGTGTATTGTGTGAAGCGTTTTGAGACGATCTTAAATTTTAAGACACGATGACCTTGCAGGCTGAGATGGGGTGAAAGTTCAGTCACTTCAGTCTGAAAAGAGCACCCCCTCCTGGCCCAGGGTGACAAATACACAGTCACTACGCTTCACAGTATATTCTGTGAAGCGTTTTGAGAGGTCTCGGAGATGTGATAAGTCGCTTTATCAAATGCAAGGATTATTATTATTATTATTATTATTATTATTATCAGTCTCTGCGTGAAACACTTGAATTACAGCTCAGATGTTGCACAATCCAATATTTGCGCACTCAGAAAATAAAATGTCCCCCAACATATTTCAGTGACGAGCCTCAGCAGCTGGCTGGAATCTAAGCCCAAACCCCAGAGGTAACAAGACGATATTCTAACCCGAAGCGCTATCCATTAATCTACTGTCCTGCAGGGCTTTCTGAAGCAATTCAAATGTGGTTTCAGTTTAACTTGCTCAAAGCGCTTACACAATGCCGTTTCTGACACTCACACATGATTGACCAGCCTTGACCTTTCCTTCCGCATTCTTCTGCTTCCCTTCGCTCTCTCCGCACCGCAATGGTTTCTAGTCGGATCGGTGACAGGCCCGTGTTCCGACACCTCCACAACCCCAGTGGCGATGAACACTCCAAGCTACCTGATGGGGAGGGAGGTTGGGAGGAGGAAGGCCAAATGGTCCCACTTAACAAGCAGCTTTGCTGGAGGAAACTGATCGCTCTGGACCTGGCTGCTGGCCAGGGTTAAGGAGGGAAGCTCAGCATTGGGTTCCATGGGGATCCCAGCACCATTCCAGCCATAACAGTCTTGTCAAAGGTGCACAGGAGCCTGCGTTCATCTTGGGTTGGAAAGTTTCCAATCAAACTAAGACGATCGGAAAGGGAAGGATCTCGGTATCTTTCTCCCCACCTTCCCATCCCACCCCACTGATTGGAATGTTTATTTTGGGGAGTAGGGGGAATTTAGGGTTGAAGCTTGGTCGTCGTCAGAACGCATTCCGTGCAATAATTATCAGAGTTGGTAAAGGCCATTATGTCTAATTGAGACATATAGAAAGTGCCACAGCACAGTCTGAGTTGAGTTAGCTGATCTCAGCTCACAAACACAGTCAAATATCCTACTAATACACGCTGGCTGGCTGGCCTTGGCTTCACACATAAAGAATGACCACTTGGACAAGATACCAGAGACCATCCAGGTGCCTCACCTTCACTCAAGAAGGTTAAAGTTAGAATAATAATCTTCGCGTTTGGTACAGCACCTTATCAAGTCATTGAGACGCCTCAAAGTGCTTCACTGGATATACTGTAAAGTTGATTGACTGTGTATTTTGTGAGGCGAAAGTTGGGTGGGGTGGGGATGGGGGATTAGCGAGGAGAGAGAGTGTGAGAGAGACGGAGAGAGAGAGAGAGAAAGGGACTTTTAGTTCACTAGTTTATGCTTCAAAGCGTCTTGTGTTGGAAGTGGAATCGCATTGTTTGTGGTGATTTATTCTGGCACTTGGCGTTTTATTATTACGTTTATTCACACGCTGCAAATGGTGGGGAAAAGTACGTGAATGAAGCAAAACAAAGATGTGCAGTATCCTATCCCAGGAAATCCTCTCCAGCGAAAACAGACACCAGAGGGGATGAGCACATAAAGCGTGGCTCTCCCGCAATTGTTACAGCTTGCTAAAATATTTTTTTTTTAAGAAATGTAAAATATCGTTCATCACGCTGCCGAGCCTGCCAGAGACATATGGCTTCCACATGGCTTTACCCAAATAAAAACCCCGTCTCTGCTTGCTAGTGTCAACCTCTTTGTCCGTTTTGAAAGTTGGATGGATCCAAATCCCTTGTTAAATCCGTACCAGTGAACATTCTGAATACACAGCCCAGACTCGAAGCATTGGCTCACCAGCTTGATATGTTGCCCAAGTCTGAAATCAACGCCGTGATCCTCAGACATGAAGCAGGTAATGCTCCCAATTCCAACTGGGTTCAGAGCCAAATAGTTTTTCTCTCTGTCTGCACAGCCCTTATCCACAGCACTGACTATAATAATAATATAATAGTGCCCAGCCTGCACTGTCAAGCTCTTTTTGGGATATCTTCCCGACGTGAAAGGCGCTGTGTTAAGTGTAAATTGCGTTGCAATGCAATAGGTACGCTTGATGTTAAAATGGAATTGTACCCCAGTCAAGGGCTAGCGATTTCTGGGAACTGGGGGAAGGGAGTGGGGAGAGAGGGAGGGAAGATGAGGGGGGAAAGAAAGGAAGAGGAAAAAATCTGAATGAAATAATTGATGAACTCGGAGGCTGTAGGTCACTGGCAGTCCTGAACTATACATCATCAGGACGGCTCACTATCCCAGGTGCCTTGTTATTTTTATGACTTCTGCAGATTTAGGAGTACGTCGCTGTCGTATGTATAATAAAGAGTAGTGGCTGGGAGTGATTAACAGGCAGCGAGCAGCCCAGTCAAGGGGATTCAACTCATGTCAGGAATGGCAAGATGGAGATTAGAATGTTTGAACGGTCCATGGCGGTCAATTATCTTTTTATGAGATACGACGGTTAATTTTACAGGGTGATTCTTTTATTTACCGTGTTTGGGACGTGCTCTGGTGCACCACTGAGTAAGACAGGTTCCATGTGCTTCCGGATTGATCGTATTATAGTATCATTCGCACCAAAGGGCTTAAAATAACACCACCACCAAATTGGGTTTCTATAACGTCTTTCACGTTGGGGTGGGGGGGGGAACGGACGTCCCAAGGCGACAGAAAATCAAGGGTTTGCCCCCAAGCTGCGGGTCGGGAGTCAAGAGGGGTGGGTGGGGGTGAAAAAGAGCTGAGGTTTGAAGGAAGATTCAAAATTGCCCGGTTCTTCTGAGCATACTTTATACTATACTATACTTAGTGTATGTTAGGTCTCAAATCACTTATTTTCTAAAAGAACTCTTATCTGATTTGCATTTGCTCAAACTCCCAACTCACAAAACGTCAACACCTGTTCCTCTTTCTCCGGTTTGTTCCTTCCTCCTCCACCACATAACAATAAACCTTCACCCCCAACCCAACCCCGTCCACCGTTAAAGAGCCTAACATAAGACTCACATCAGAACCGTGCCATACCTTTCTCATTCAGGTTCCTGGATGACCCATCGCAGACTCCCAGGTTTTGTGCCGCACCCAAACAGCACAGGTGAGGGCATCTCCTCCTCCAACCCACAATGCACAACAGGAAGGAGATCTGGAGATGCACCTCCAATGGTGAAAGAATGTATTGCTGCAATGTTGGGGATTTGTTTCATTGCACCACAGAGGTCTATGTTGCTCAGACCGTCACCCACAAAATACAGTCAATCCACTTTTACAGTATATTGTGTGAAGCGCTCCGAGACGTCTCAACGACCTGATAAGACTCCGTACCAAATGCAAAGTTTTTTTTATTATCAAAGGCACAGAATGAGACATGATAGTCTTGTGGCCGAACTTTGGTCTTTACTGAGCTCTGGGAAGGTGCAGGATTTGAAAATTACAAAGCAATTTGTAAATACACCAACACAAATCCCACCCCCCCACCCACCAACAACCCCCTCCTACACTGGGACAATGTATAACTGTAACCTGCCCACTCGGTGGTGCTGTTCCATAACCTTTCTGCAGCATTTTCTTCAATGAAATCCCAATTCCCGTGCAACATAGCTTTCCAATCTCCTGCGCCATTCAACGGCCTCCTCTCCCAGAGGCATGGAGCGAGCCTGGAAGTTAAGGCACCCTCTGGTCCATTCAGCCAGTATCTATTGGTCCAATTTGAGGCTGCGACACTCAGCCCCACAGAACACAGAAGGGGAAGAGACTCCAGGTTTGAATCCTGGTCTGAGTCTGGGTGAGGGGGCAGTTAGCCGTCTCCCAGTGAGAGCAAAGGGAAATAGTCAGTCTGGGCAGAACCCAAGACCATCATTTGTTTGGCCCGATCTCTCGACCCCAAAGTCAGCCGAGACTGAACAAACTCATGGTATACCCAGAGAATAAGCCACAGGGAAGAAAGAAAAGTCTCTCTTCTCCCTTCCCCGTAGACACACAGAGAAAGACGGAAGAAATGAGAATACAGTGATGTTTGCTGTTCGTTTCGGATCTGAAGTGTAGACAGTAAAACATTTATTCAGCAAAACAAAAATAATAAATAAAGCGAGTTTATGACAGAAACACAAAGCAGAGGTAAGGTACAACTGGCTCCTACCATATGGCGGAAGGGGCAGATTGGCACATTTATATACAGTATAAGTCAACCTTTCACATGATATAATTAATAAATTTACCTCTCCCCTCTTTCTCTCCACACTCCCCCCCCCCACCACCCACTCCCCTCCCTTCAAAAAACAAGTCACTTCCATAAATAATAACTCCATATAACATTGTGCTAAATGCAGAAATCTGCTTCCAAGCACTTGTCTCGAATGGGATGTTCATAGCATCCCATGGGATGGCCGTGTGATGTGCATCAATACATGAGATTCTACACTCCCTCCCTCCATATAACAAATATATTTCAGCCAAGCAGGGTGAGCATGGTTGGTGTAACATCCTTCGGTTTCCCCCGAAGACAGTCTCTCTCTGCTCTGTGTGTTGGTTCTCGGATTCAGGCAAAATGGTCCTCCTTTGCTTCTGTGTCCCTTGTCTCCCTCTCTCTGTCCGTTCTCCCTTGGTCATCGACGATCTTCCTCTTCACTTGGCAATTCCTCGGACACAGGTCCTGAGTTTGTGTCCCATAAAATGTTTAAGCCGTTCTTTGGGACTCGGGAAGAAAGTCCCCCATCTGCTGAAACGTGACCACTAGTCCACCAGCTACACAGAGAGGGGCTTTAGCGGATGAACTTTGTGGGCTTTGCGGTGACTGTGGTGTTGCAGGGGGCAGGGAGAAAGGGGGTGAATAACCTTTACAGCAGCACACACACATACAATACATACACACACACACCCTCCCCACTGGTGTGGTATTGCTTCCCCCCACCCACCCCACAAGGAATGTTTGTGTCTCATTTCCGCTTGTTTTCCCAGCGAGGAACCGAGGAATGTTCTCCTCTTGGCGTCTGGTCAAATTGGAGTAGGCGCAGCTTCCAAATCGTTGCCAAGGTTCAATTCACACCCTCGGTCGGCTACGCTTCAGTCTGGTGCGGGGCTCTGGATAGGTTCGGTGTCGCCCGCTCTGCAGAGCTATCTACTTGCAGACATACCTCACCACAGTCCTCTCGCATTTCTTGCACGTCACATAGCAGCACCAGTGGTACTTGCAGCTGCAACGCTCCACCACAGTGTCTGTGTAGGCATTGTACCCCCGCCCGCAGCACATCAGATTACAGCTGTCACTGCCCACTGACGTCTTGTTGCATTGCCTGCGAGGGAAGGAGATGGGAGGTGAATCGACAATACAATGTGAAGTCCCGTAGTGTAGTGTTTAACGCGCTCGCCTCGCAAGCGAGAGGACCCGGGTTCGATTCAGGGCCGGGGGCGAAACATTAGGCAACATACCTCGGTTTACCCAGCAGTAAGAAGGAATCCGGTTGTTCATCGATTGGTGGGTCGCTCTCCGGGAATAATGATCCCTCCAACAAATATATATATTATATATAGCAATAAATTTGGTCATTCAATCCATGACTGTTTGTGGGACACTGCTGTGCGCAAGCGGTCAAAAAGGTACGTTGTGAGATTTGCCTCGATTACACGATGGATGAATACCTACAGTACACAATGTGCTTGCTACACTTCACTGGGTAGGTCAGTCAGTCGGTCGCTCACGCCGCTGGGTCAAAGGGCTGTGGGTTTGAGCCCCACACGTTGGGACTTGTTTAGTACAGTTTTGAGGATTTTATTGCAACTGCAGTGAGAGGAAGCTTGAACATTTCCAGCGCTGTAACGTGAAACAGTCCAACCATTCTCCGCTCAGCACTGATGGGGATATGGCGACAGACCAAGTGAACCATTCTTGGGTCACCCAGAAGGTGGTAGCACTGAGCAGCCCCAAACCAAAGGAGCGGAGCCTCTGGTCTGTCCGGCAAGGAGCGCGGAGACTTTGGAAAAGTCTATAACTCCGTGAAGAGGCAGGCGGTGGGTGAAGAACAAAAACCACAGAAACAATATTACATTTGTATTGCGCCTTTCGCGTTGGCAGGACATCCCAAGTACCTGGAGGACAGCTCGTGTCTGCGCAACTAACTCACGGTACAATTCCATCCACACCTGATATGAGACACAATCCTGATTAAAGGGAAGGTGAGGAAACATCCTTGACTCACAGAGTTAAGTGGAATTCGCTGCCCTCCCCCCGCCCCACCACCACCACACTGTCGTTGAGGCAGTCCACGAAGGGGTATTTAGACAAGATGCAGGAAAAAAAACAAGAGGCGGAATACTAAAGGTTCTGGGGAGCGAATGGGATTAGACGAGGTGGGAGTGCAGAGGAGCAATTGCCAGAAAGGTCCACTCTGCCTGTTTCTGTGCTGGAATTTCTTTATATATTGATGAGCAAGGTTAGACCTCCATTAATCAAATTAGACCGAATGTGTTCCACGAAGGAACGAGGGTCATTCCCGCAGATAAGGCCCAATCCTCTCCCCACCCCAACTCTTCTGGGCCCCAAATTGTCATAGGACAATGTGGACCTGAGCCATGTCTTCACGACCATTCAAGCAGGTCAGGGTGACAGGCTGGCCTCTCTGGCAGGGCAAGCCTGGCCTGAACCAAGTCACCCAGTGCTCAGATGTATCGACTTCAGTATCTCCTCTTCCTCTGGTGTGAAGACAACAACAACAACATGCATTTATATATCGCCCTTCACGCGGGGTAGCATCTCGGGAGGGCTTCACAGTGGCGGAGTCTGATAAGGCAGATTACACTCCTCAGATCCGAAATACTGTAATACCCACCCCGACCACCCGACCAACAGAGGGAACGGTCTATGGTGGGAGATGGCGTGGGGAAGGACCTAAGGTCTTCTGTCTGTACGTACCTCTCCTGGGTCCCATAGGAGCCTTGCTTCTCACTTCTGCTGCAGTAGTCAGGGGAGCTGACCAGGTAGATGAGCTCACTGACCCTGACAGGTCTCACGTCCAGTTCTTTGGGCACCAGCTGCTTTCTCTTGCCCACATGCCGATGGATGACTCTGGTGGCCGCCAGGTATTTGGTCTTCAGCTCAACCGTGATGCCGCTCAGCTCTCCGAGCCCCTTCCAGCAGGTCTTCACTGAACACGAGCCCGAAACACCGTGACACTTGCACTTGATCTCCATCGATTCGATCAGCGTCTGTCGGGAAAGACACCACAATTGGACAACATCATATAATAGTCCTTGTATTTGATGCAGCGCCTCATTACATCATCGAGACGTCTCAAAGCGCTTCACAGAATACACTGTAAAGTGTAGTGACTGTATACTTATTGGGCGAAACACGGTGGCCAGTTGCCCCCAGCGACATCCCACAAACAGCCGTGGATTGAGTGACCACTAATCTTTTAAATTATTATTATTAATTATTATTGTTGTCGTTGAAGGGATTATCACCTCCGGAAAAGCGATCCGCCAATCGACTAACAACCGGGTTCCTACTCCCTGCTGAGGAAACAGAGGTGGGGGGGCGGGGGGTAAGGAAACTTGCCCAACATTTCAACCTGCCCCGGGAATCGAACCCAGGTCTCTCGCTCGCGAGGCGAGGGCTGTAACCCCTGGACCATCATAGGACTCGGTAAGACCCCCGTCACCCCTTTCCTCACCCGCCTGCCGACCTCATTGTTGTGCAGGTTCATCAGTTTGTTGGCCTGGGTGCTGGACCTGCCACCTCTGGCCGGGGCGTCCGCGAAGAGGGACCCGAGCTGGAGCCCGTAGCGCAGGTTGTCCCCGCAGCCCCCCCACCGGAAGTCACGGTCGGGCACCTCCGCCGGCGGCGCCTCGCAGGAGCAGCTCGGCAGGTCTCCGGAGGCACAGAAACGAGCGATGGAGTGGCTGAGAGCCGCGGAGGAGAGGGCGTACACGAAGGACGACTCTCGTGTTCCTGCAAGACACACACATGCACACACGCACACACGCACAGACACACACCACACACACAGACACACACCACACACACAGACACACACACACGAGGGCATCAAGAGAACCGTCAAATCTCAACACACTTCTTTTGCGAAGAAGCCTCAAAGCGCTTCACAGGCTTACACTGTCGAGTGGATTGACTCGGTGTATTTTTGTGGGAGAAACGCGGCAGCCAATTGCGCACGGCAGTTGTTATATTCGACAATAATAACAATAATCATCCTCGCATCTGATACAGCCAACACCTTAACACGGCTGCGAGACATTGCGCAGGTTACACCATAAAGTGGCTGTGTATTTTGCGGGACGCAAACGCGGCAGCCAATTGCGCACAGGAGTGTCTGTCAGACAGCCTTGTATAATCAGTCCGTTGGTTGCACACTCGGTGCCTCACCCACACAGGGTTGCGAGGGCTTGGTCTTACCTCTGCCCAGGTCCGCGGTGAAGCGGGGAGCGAGATGGATGGACGAGCAGTTCCAGCGCATGTCCGCCATGGTTTGCTGGCACATCAGGCCGGTCTGCTTGGCAGCGAAGACGACGCTCCTCATGAGCTCCGGGTTCCTACGGCAGATCTGCACCTGGTCTGGGAGCAGCCCGCTCACCAGCCTGCAATGCTGGGTGTGGTTCCAGGCCAGAGTCGAGCCATTGACAGGGACGCCACTGCACAGCGACACAACCACAACAGCAATAATAATAATAATCGTTGCATTTGATATCAACTCCGCGAGACGTCTCAAAGCCCTTCACAGCACATATACTGTGACGCGTAGCGACTGTATATTTCGTGGGTGAAACGCGGCAGCCAATTGCGCACAGCGGCGTCCCACAAGCAGCCGCGGAGCAAGTGACCCGTTTTATTTGGGGGATTGTTGTCCGGGACACCAGGACACGGGGAGGAATAAATAAACACTAGATTTATACTCTTCCAGAACTTAAAATTGCTCCTCAAACCACCCTTCCCCACACCCCCGCCAGCTACTTTGATGCACAATAAAAAGCTTATTGTGCTTAAAAACAACATATATTTTATCCTTAAGTTAAAAAGCCATCAGATTAGTACAACGACATCGGATTCATTGCGGAATTGCAAATGTCAGGATAGTTTTATCATTCTCTTTTAATCCTGTGTTTTTTTTAATCCATCCTGTATTTTTAGCAAGTGGTTTAAATTTATGAAAGACAGCAATAGTAAATACACACATATGTACATAGATACATAGAGAGAGTGAGTGAGAGAGATGGAGAGAGAGAGAGAGAGAAAGAGAACAATACTTGCATTTGATATATATATATATGTAGAGAGTTCTTTACAGTCAGTGTAGAGCAGAGCTCACTCAGTCTCCAGTGAAAGAGGTATAAAGACAGCAGCAGTGAATATACAGTATATATTATTATATATATATATATAGAGAGAGAGAGATGTGTAGTCCTTACAGCCAGTTTATAGCAGAGCTCAGTCTCCAGTGAAAGATGAACAGCAGTGTCCAGTGAGTGTTGAAGTCCATACTTTAAATCCCCTTCTCTCTCTGTGTGTGTGTGTGTGTGTCTCCTCTCACAATAACACACACAGACAATTCCTGACCTCTCTCTCTCTCTATCTGCACGAAACGATCTGAAATAAGCAAAAATAATAACGTGGTCAGCAACAGCCTCTCCTGCAGTAAAACCGTCTCAGGCTTTTGCAATGTTTGAAATGATAAAAACAGCTCATTTTATGAATGCACAATAAAAAAAAACCCTCTTAACATACAGCACTTACACGTTACAATCAATCAAAACCCACAAAAAGTGCCTTTTACCCCCCAAAAAAAACTCACAAAACCAGAGAAACACACCAACCTTCAGCCTTTTTCAAGTCGTTTGGTTTCACTCGTGAAGTTGCTCAGAAGGTTTGGAAAGCACAGACTTGAGTTTTTAATCCCCACTTTGTTTTAAAATCTTATGATGTAGATTTAAAAAAAAACTTTTTTTTTCTCTCTCTCTGGGATTATATGTTCTGATACAATTCCTCTCGTTGCATTTTCCCCTCCACACACCCCTTATTATTAACACTTACAGCAAAGCAAAAAAAAATTCTCTCTCTCCCTCTCACTCACTCACTCACTCACCCCCTTTTCCCTAAATTCTGCTAAACCCCCCCAAAGTTGAGCAGTGATTTGTTTGAAACCTTGCAGCAAAATTCCTTGCTTTGCAATCACTTGGCTTTCCTTTTCTCTTTAAAAAAAACCCTAAAAACGTGTACTGCATCAAAACTAAAATAAAAACACCAATCTTATAGATATATATATATATAGAGAGAGAGAGAGATATTTAAAAAAAAACACCTCCTGGTTTTGGTGGGTCTGAGAAGGATTGGTGATGAAAGAGAAAGGGAAAAAAAGAAAAAGAAGAGGAAGAGAGAGGAAGAAAGAGAAGAGAGAGAGAGAGAGAGAGAGAGAAAGCCTGGGATGTGTCTATGTGCAAACTTTGGCTGTAATGTGTGAGTTTTTATACTGAAACTCCTTGTGACTCCTCCTCACGCCTATTGCTGACCAGCAATTGTGAGCTTCAGGTGCTAACATGAAGGGTTTCCCAATGGGTTAACATTGGCAGAGAGAGAGAGAAAGAGAGAGTGAGAGAGAGAGAGAGAGAGAAGGGATGGAGAGAGGGAGTGGAGGGAGAAACCCAGAGGAGTATTGCTTTGCACCAGTCAAATACACTACAGGGTGTCCCACAAATTCCTGTTACCCAGTGTTTTTCTCTCTCTCTCTCTCTCTCTCCCTCTCCCTAACGGTGCAACTGACTTTACCTTAAGTCCCGCGTCAATAATAATAACGGTCACGGAGATAATCATTGCACGTGACGCGGGCGCCTTTAATCACGCCGTCGAGACGCCTCGAAGCGCTCCCCGGAAACGCGCCGTAAAGACGCGGCGGCCGCGTGCGGCGTGGGGCGAAAACGCGGCGGGCGGACGGCGGGCGGCCGTGTCCCCCACGACCGCATTATTTTTGAACGAATATCGCCCGTCGACCCAATCGCCCGTCGCCTCAACAGCCGGGTTCCCGCTCGCTGCTGGATAAACAGAAGGCGCGCGGAGTGAGGGAACTTGCCCAACGTTTCGCCCTGCCCCGGGGTCCTCTCGCTCGTCAGGCGAGCGCCCCAAGCACCGCGCTCCCGACACGCCCTAAATATGAATCAACCGGGGAGTATAACCCGAGAGAGGGGGTCCCTCACCGATATTTAACGAATGAACGTGCTCGGTGTGGGGCTAAAGGTTTGCGGCGTGTCCGTCTCAAACCGCTTGCTTCGCCCCCCCCACCCCAAAAGGTATCCGAACTCTCCCACGTTGCGAGTTAACTCATCAATGGGTTTAAGGAACGCCCCGGCCCGACGTCTCCGGGGTCAGGCACCAAACGGTTAACGCGCGCAGTGTTAACTCACCGCACACACACACACACACTATCACTCGCACACACTCGCACACTCGCAGCCCCAAGTCATCTCAGAGTTGTAGGTCAACAAAGTGCCAATTTTACTGCCCCCAAACCCGGTCCCAAAGGAATTAAAAACAGATGATTTATTTAAAGGATTGCACTCTCTCTCTCTCTCTCTCTCTCTCTCTCACACACACACATGCGCTCACACACTCACTCTCTCTCACACGCTCACTCTCACACTCACTCTCTCACACACGCTCACACACTCACTCTCACTCTCTTTCTCTCACACACACGCTCACACACTCACTCTCTCTCTCTCTCTCACACACGCGCTCACGCTCACTCTCTCTCTCACACACGCTCACTCACACACTCACTCTCTCACACACGCTCACACACTCACTCTCTCTCACACGCGCTCACACACTCACTCTCTCTCTCTCTCTCTCTCACACACGCTCACTCACACACTCACTCTCACACACGCTCACACACTCACTCTCTCTCACTCTCTCTCACACACGCTCACACACTCACTCTCTCTCACTCTCTCACACACGCTCACACACTCACTCTCTCTCACTCTCTCACACACGCTCACACACTCACTCTCTCTCACTCTCTCACACACGCTCACACACTCACTCTCTCTCACTCTCTCTCACACACGCTCACACACTCACTCTCTCTCACTCTCTCTCACACACGCTCACACACTCACTCTCTCTCTCTCTCTCTCTCACACACGCGCTCACACACTCACTCTCTCTCACTCTCTCTCTCTCACACACACTCACACGCTCACACACTCACTCTCTCTCTCTCACACACACGCGCTCACACACTCACTCACTCTCTCTCTCTCACACACGCTCACACACTCACTCTCTCTCTCTCTCTCTCTCTCACACACGCTCACACACTCACTCTCTCTCTCTCTCACACGCGCTCACACACTCACTCTCTCTCAGAAGAAAATTCCTCCCTCCCTCCCGCCCGCCCCATAAAAACAAGATATTTTCCGAATGACTGGCATTTCACGCCCCGGTTAACATTTCCTGGGACCATTTCACAACTTTACCCACCGGGTGTCAGACCGGCAACTGAGGTGTGAAAGAACTGTGGTTTGAAAAGGACTCGCACCCCACCCCCCCCCCCCCACCCCCATCAACCCCCCCCACCCATCCCCACCCCCACCCCCTCTTTGAAGCTGCCCCTTTGAGTCCGGTCTGGAATTAACATGAGAATGTGACCCAGAGGAACCCAGACACGGTTCACGATACACGTCCACACACACAGCAACAACAGCAGCAGCAGCTCCCAACCCATATTAACCTGATCTTCATTTGGTTTCTGTTTGCGACTCATCCCCAACCCCCCCACCCCCCAACCCAACCCCCCCAACCCCCAACCCAACCCCTAACCCCCCAACCCCTACCCCCAACCCAACCCCCCCAACCCCCCAACCCCCAACCCAACCCCCCAATCCCCCAACCCAAACCCCAACCCCCAACCCACCCCCCAATCCACCCAACCCCCCCAACCCAACCCCCTCAATCCCCCCAATCCACCCAACCCCCCAACCCAACCCCCCAATCCCCCCAACCCAACCCCCAACACCCCCAACCCAACCCCCCACCCCCCAACCCCCAACCCAACCCCCCAATCCAACCCCCAACCCAAACCCCAACCCCCAACCCAACCCCCCAATCCCCCCAACCCCCCAACCCCCAACCCAACCCCCAACCCCCCCAACCCAACCCCTACCCCCAACCCCCAACCCCCCAACCCCCAACCACCCCAACCCCCAACCCAACCCTCAAAACCCAACCTCCCCAACCCAACCACCCCATCACCGCTCCCTGCCTCTCCCCCCCCCCCCCCCCCCCCATCCTCACTCCCATTCCTCCCATTGCAACCCAAAAAATAAACCCTTCGATGACACCACCCAAACCTGGCACCTTGTGTCTCTGACCAAGAATCCAGGAATAACTCGCACATTAATGCGCACTCCCCCTCCCCCCACCCCCCCCCCTGCCCCGCACCCCCACCCCCGCCCCACAACCCCACCCTCCCCCTCCTCACTCCAATATCCAGCGCAAAAAATAATAACAATAATAATAATAATAATAAGTTGACCAGGACTTGGTGAGTACATTAGCTGTCCACCGTTATTGGGGTTATTAGTGACTGAGCTGAGAACCGTAATCAATAACAACAACAACAACAACAACAGGACAGCGGCTTTTTTTGAGGGGGGTGGGCGGCAGGTTATGAAGGGGGGTGGGGGGGATTGGGGGCGGGGGCGATGGGGGGCGGGGGGATTGGGGGCAGGGTGTGTGTGGGGGCGGGGGGGTGGGGGGGATTGGGGGCGGGGTGTGTGCGGGGGGGGATTGGGGGGCAGGGTGTGTGTGGGGGGCGGGGGGGGGGGGGCTGGTGGAAGACACAACCCACCACCATGTAATAGTCTCTGAGACCAAAGGCGACCGAGAATTCCTCCCCACCTATTGCTCCCCACCTCCCCCCCCCCCCTCCCCCCGCACCCAACACCCCCCCCCCCCCCGCACCCAACACCCCCCCTCCCCCGCACCACCCCATCCGCTCCCCTCCTCCCACCGCTCCCCTAATCCCCTAATCCCCTAATCCCCTAATCCCCAATTGACTATTGAGGATCACTATGATGATGATTGAAGGAGAACCAGGAGAAGCGTAGACGAAGAAGGAGGGAAGGAAAGAGAGGGAAAGAAAGAAAGAAAGAAAGAAGCGTAAAAAGAGGAAGAGAAGTGCGTTCCACCCCTTTTTCTTCTCCGTAAACCCCAAACTTGTCGTGTCCCCCACACCCACCGACCCCCCAACTCTGGGCCCCTCCTCCCACAGGCCCCTCCACTCCCACAGGCCCCTCCCACTCCCACTCCAGGCCCCTCCCCCCACTCTGGGCCGCCAGGAAAATGGGGCTCGTCCGGGATTTGAACCCGGGACCTCTCGCACCCTAAGCGAGAATCATACCCCTAGACCAACGAGCCGCCGAGGGCTCCCCCGCCCCCCCCCGGGGATATTTTCAACAGAGATCGCCTTTGATTGGAGGGGGAGAGAGAGAGCGAGTGTGTGTGTGTGTGTGAAGGAGGAGGAGAGGGGGAGGTT